TTATTTTTTGAACTTGAAAAACGGTTAAACATACATAAGTCTACAACATAATATTCTGCATTGATTTAGAGACTAACGATCTTAGTGATAATATATCCATAACTTTAACTTTATATTTTGTTGCGTGTACCTATATTTTATAGAGTTCTCTGTACTATTACCATATCTCTGTAAGATATGGTAATAGTAACTACCAGTGATGATGATGATAATGATGATAGATGATAATAATGATGGTCTTTTGACTGCCAGTTAACTGAAAAATTCTCAGACCCTTCTTAGACAAACCTTGCTACCTAACTAATAAAAGGTGTTGTGACTGCATATTATGTTGATATCTCCATCTGTAAACGTGTAAAATAAAAAAAAATGATAGATACGTACCTGAAAGACTATCAGGGGCTTTAACATAAAGCGTTAAAAATTACTCTAAGTCAAAATTGATGCATTAAACCAAACCAAATTACTTCAAGAACGTGGTTCAGTCTCGGCAATAGAAGCACATAATATCACACTCGAACTATGCTAAACTCTCACCTGTCCCCTATGTAATCCCTATTGCAACTATGACATAGTTTAAGTTTGTTAATAGTTTCGACGTAATACGACCAATAAATTGGCTCCTTGTTTCTATTACAACGACCATTAATTGTAATAATATAATAAATTGAAATAAAATACCATGAATTTTGGCGTTAACATGACAAATTGTTATAGATTAGTAAAGTCAAATAAATAATCAAGAATTAATCGAATCATGTTTTCAGAGTAATTATTGAAATTTGGACCCATAATAATATTAAAATTCATATACAGACGCTGGCGCACGTGAACCTTAACAATGTGAGGTCTCATTTAAGTATATAGTTGTAAGTAATACTCGTAGTAGCGAATTTGGTCCAAAAATATGGTGTAACAGTAACTAGTATGATGTGCTGTCGTATGTGCTTAACTTTTTACAAGACGCGCTCTAACCTTAAGAAACAAAAAAGCGTACATTTTCAGTTGATAAAAACTGCAATAGTACACTTGTGTTTTGTTCTAACGTGAAAACTTTAAATAACACTCGTGTCCAAAACCCAATCAAACTTGAGCCGTACAAACTACCCTTACTTCATTACTACCCACTATTTTACACGAAACTTCGACAATGATGTATCGAGCCCTTTGTTGCTATCAACTTCTGATTGAACCCTCGTAAACCAGATCAAAGAACCAATCAGAGGGTTTTAATAAACCCCTTCAGGCACATTTCGTTGATTAAACCCACTTTAATAATACACCTGGTTATCTACAAGGTATTTTAGGTACTTACATTAAATCCCCGAGACCCTTGAGGGCCCTGCTTAAATAGCTTTTAATTTTCTCCCATATTTCAAGTCACACCTTTGTAAGGGATTATTAACCTTTAATTTGCATATTTTGTAGTTACTTTCGCATTTTATTGGTCTCCTGGCGCTATAAAGAGCGTATCTTCAAATAAGCAAATAAAGATGGATCTGTTTGCGTAAATCCCTTTATAGAAGATTCAAAGTTTTAGTACGCATTAAAAGTGTCATCGCTGCAAAGTTTATTATAATTAAGAACGGAATAAAGCAAAGACACTTCGCAAAGAACTCCTCCGGCGTGTTTTCGTTCCTAGAATTTCATGATAATAAAGATATTGTAGGGAGCAATTTCTTTATCTTTTGCCCTATACTAAGACCCTGGTTTCAGATATTTTGAGGTGCCATTGATGTACTTAACATGACTGTTTTCTTTTGGGCCAATACTTTTTAGGGTTCCGTACCTCAAAAGGAAAAAACGGAACCCTTATAGGATCACTTTGTTGTCCGTCCGTCCGTCTGTCAAGACCCTTTTTCTCAGGAACGCGTGGAGGTATGAAGCTGAAATTTATATCAATTACTCAGGTCTACTGTCCCTTGAAGCTGTGAAAAAATCAAACTTCTAAGCCAACGCAATCAAAAGATACAGCCGTATATGCCGCAAATTTTCGACACTTGCAAGGGAATCAAAACCTACAGGGTGCTTCCCGTGAACTCAGAATCTTGAAATTTAGTACGAAGCAACGTCTTATAGCATAGATAAAGGAAAAATTACGAAAACCATAAATTTTTAGTTACATCACATAATATATTTTTTTTAAATAATTTTAAACTTACTACCCATTTCCTCATAAACGCGTAGAGGTATTAAATTGAAATTCATACCAAATACTCAAGTCTATAATACCTTTAAGTTGTAACAAAATCAAACTTCTATGTCAACGCAATCAAAAGAAACAGCAATTTAAGCTGCATATTTTGAAACTCGCAAGTACTCGCAAGGGAATCAAAACCTAAAGGGTACTTCCAGTCGACCTAGAATCTTGAAATTTGGCATGAAGCAACGTTTTATAGCACACATGAAGGAAAAATTCCGAAAACCTTAAATTTTTAGTTACATTACAAAATATATATTTTTTAATAAATATAAACTTATGAATTTCATTTTGCAATAAAAATACCATAGTTATGACTCGATTGTCGTAATGAACGAACTTTGTAAACCTTGCAGGTTTGTACGGAACCCTCGGTGAGCGAGTCCGACTCGCACTTGGCCGGTTTTTACTATCCACGGACTTGCAATGTCATCACTAACCTTTATAGTGTTCCAGAGAAATATACGACAAGGTGAGCCCTAATTGGGATATGTATGTCCCAAAAGAGGTATGTCAATATTTTAGTTCTATTTCGTAAACCCCCGACGTGGATTAAGTGCGATTGCTTCGTTTCAGTAAATTAGCTAAATGCAAGTTGCGTATTTTCAATTGACGGTGCTTCATTCAAAGGGAATGCAATGTATTACATTACTACTATATAGAGCTCCATTAGTTTCAAAGCCAACTTTCAATGTGGAATTCCACTTAACGTATTCTGTTCCTAATTAAACGAGATAATGTTCATTACTGCGCTCGTTCAAGATCCTTGAACTGTATTCGTTTGTACTAGCTGAAATGATCTAATTGCTAATTTCCGCTTAATTGTGAAGGAATACCTGAATGTTTGTTTCGTTTTTGTTTCCCTCATTAGAGCTTGATTACGTAACTTCGAGGTTTGAACGGAGGTTAACGCAAATGTTGCTACCGTGGATTGTGACCGTGAGATGAACAAAAAAATGTTTCTACCATGGATTGATTTGGTAAAGCTGCTACATCAAAAGAAGGCAGGGAATAAATAGGTTTGATCGTCCAATATAAATAGATGGTCACTTACTGAGATAAAATTATGTGCTGTGAATTTTTGAATGGATATGGTAAATACTCTGTGATTATTTATAACTGTGGCTAGGTACGTAGCTAGTTGAACTTTGTTAAATAGTTTGTCTCAGAGTTTGGGGATTCAGACTTTTAAATCAAGGCTCAAACACGCCTAGCTCAGTAAATGTAGCTGACGTAGTATTGTTTTTAGGTAAACTAAAAACTTTAATAGCTATGCCTAAAAACAGAACCAGCAAAAAGTGTTCGTTTACCAAGTAATTTGTGTTTTATTTAAACATCAGTTCATAGGCTCAAATACGTCCTATTAGCTTAATAAATGTTTTTAGGTGAACTAAAAACTTTCATAGCTACGCCTAAACATGCAAACCATACTACGCATAAACCAGCAAAAAGTGTTCGTTTACCAAGTAATTTGTGTTTTTTTTTATACATCAGTTTGTAGTAGGGCCCAGATTTCCCTAAGCTGGCTCGTGAAGTTTGTTTCTCGGGGCTAAAAGTGTAATTTTCGCATTCAAATGCTTCCGTGGCAGAATTAATGTTTTGCGGAAACTTTTGGAGTAGGCGCTCCTGATTTGAGAAGTATTACTTGTTATATTTGTTAATTATTGCGTATGTTTTCATGCGAAATTAGAATTTAATTGGTTTGATATCTACAAAACTTTACAAAACCTGTGAAAGTGCGTGTGCAGCCTCTTTAAGTTTTCATTATCGACTTGTTGCTTAATTAAGTATGATCATTGTAATACTTATAATTCACATGATATTGTGATATAAAAAAAATATTGCCAAGCTGGCTAGATTAGTTAGGTTTTGAAATATAGCTTCATGGAGTTGATAGAGTACTAACACACAAGGTTTGATAAAAAAAGAGTGATCTCGATTGGCTGAACGGTCAATCTTCTAGAACATGATTTGCAGCGTACAAAGTAGTGGCACAGTAGTGGTTCAGAACAGACTACTATGCCGAGAGGTCCCGGGTTCGATTCCCGGCCGGACAGAAATAGAAATGAAATTTTATTTTCTGTGACGGGTCAGGGTGTTACTATGTGTATAATATGTATGTATTTACAAAAAGAAAAAGTATTTAAGTATGTTTATATCCGTTGTCTAGTGCCCATAGTACAAGTTTAGCTTAGTTTGGGAATAGAAGCGTAGTGTAAAATGTCCAAGAATATTTATTTATTTATAGTGTACCTACATCTCAATAAAAATCGTTTTAATGCCCTGTTATTATCAATGAGACGGCTGGACGCAGCCGGAAAAGCGGCGCGATCGTCAAAAACCTTCGCTTTTTGTGCCACGTAAAAGGCTCTATTGTTTGGCAGATATTGTGGCTCGGAAATCGATTTCCGACCGCCAAATTATTCGCATTTCTACGAAGCTGACAGGACAGTATCAATCAGATTATTATAGGTAGGTACAAAAACGATAATTTTCAGGCTGTGGTGGAATTACTAAAAACTTTTGTTTTCAATGGTTATCGACGCGTCTCATCTCGATATTTTTCAATAAATAGGTTTTAACGACTCCAAGAGTTGCCTGCCAGTAAACAATTTTTTATATTTAAGATTTACTACTTTCATTTACAGCCCTGTACTAACTCGGCGGTTACCTAAGTCATCTTCTGTCTTAAAATGAAACCATTTAAAGCTATACTGTGTGATAATTAACTGACCATTAATTATTTCACAATCTTCAGTTGTTAACCTCATTATTAAATTATAATTTTTTTCCTTTTCAGGTGTATTTTCTTGCTGGTGATACTGAATGTGAGTATATTTTATTACAATTTTTACGTGCTTTATCGAACCTCGTAGCTTAATTTATTCGGTACTTAATTACCCTAGATTCTAAAAGATACTCGGTACTTAAGGTTCGGCTAAACCAACGCGTGTTTAGCCGTTAAGTAAAAGTTGTTAAACTGCCGCGATCGCGTTCCAGACATTTACGACGAAAAATCCGCCATTTTCAAATCAGAAACGTCAAAATAACAAGCCCGATCTGATCCCCGAATGCCACGTGCAAAAGCTGCATTGATCGCCGCGGCTAATACAGGACGTGTTGAAGTGAACTCATTGCTACAAATTAATACAAGGCGCATGCAGGCGCTCGCGTTGGTTTGGCAGAACCTTTACCTAGGCGCAGACCACCGATTTTTAGTCGGCCGATAGTTGGGCCCGATTCCAATTTGTATGAAGAATCAATCGGTATAATGTGCGCACTTCCTTATGCCCATACTGATTAACTGCCCGACTAAACTATCGGCCGATAAAGAATAGGTGATCTGCGCCTAGTCTTAGTTAATATTAGACATAAATTTGCCATTTTATGGATCACGTCCAATCCAACTGCTGTCCACGTACAGTGGTGATTGTGTGGCCGAGTAGACAAACGCGGTAAACCAATAAAGATCCGTATTTGCGTGCTCCTGTGTCGGCGATGAATCCTGATGAGTGGTCGCGGTACTGATCCACTGATTGGCCGTGATTTAAGGCTTAAAGGGTATTTTTTGGTTTTGTTAAATTAATTTATTTTACGCAATCAATTATTGGTAGGTATTTATTTAGATATACATGTAATGCACAAAAATTGACTTACTAGGAGTGTCATATTGGACTTTTATTGATCTTCTTAATTTGGCGGAATAGTGTGCCCTCAGTGGCGAAAAAACGCAAGTACATCGAGATAAACCAAAGAAGAAGAAGAAGATTTTCGTAATTTTAAAGCATTACAGCAACACAAATTAATGTTCTTCCTTATAAAAAAAAATCTATGGGTAACAGAGAAACTTTATTATAGTAAAACTCTTAATTAAATAGAAATAATTGAACATTATTTTGTTATTTTATAGCAGTGTGTGTGATATTTGACGCCGTTTAAGTAGGTGTGGTAATGGGATCCCGATTCTGGAATTCGACGAGTTATTTTTATGTTTACGTAATTGAGAGGAGCTTGGGGCTACACACCTACATGTTGTATAATAGGTATTATTTACAAGAGATACTTGTCTTACGTCCGTATTCCTAAATGATGCTTGCTTAAGTGAATCAGCAAATCTAACGCACAGCGTTGAATAGAGCTCTGTGTGTGATTGGTACGTATGTCACCCTGTGCGTCCACGCGCACTGTGAGACGTCATAGTAATGTTTGTGAATACGGGCGTTAGCCGAAGAAGAATTTAGAAGATCACTTAGTATTTGATCCTTGGCCCTTTTCTTTGACCTTTAAATTCTAGGTATTTAACTTCTGAGGAAATTAGATGTTTCAGGCATTTCAGACACTACGGAGCTGACTGTAAATCTTCATTTCAAACAATTGTTACAAATACCCCTATCTCCTCTGCGTATCAAAATACCAAGAGTTAAAACAACTCTAGGCCCTTTGACAACTTAAGGCTCTATTCATTTCCGACATAAATTCCGTTTGAGAATTTAGAGAATTTCGGCCCACACATAAATGCTAAATAAAGTAGTTTTTATAAGGGAATCGTTGTTTTAACTTAATTCTTTGAAGTAGATAAGTACGAGTTTAAGTGAAATTTTCTTTGAATGATTGAGCGCGCTTGGCGAAGAGAAGTGCTTGAGAGCGCTTGTTAGTGCTGAGAAACAAACTATATGTATAGTTGTCGGCGAGGACACGTTTGCTAACTTCAATAGTGACGTGTTTCGTTAATTTTTAAGCAGTGAATTACAGCGCTTACCGCTTAGCGATCGCCATTTTGCTTACAAGCGCTTCCAAGCGTTTTTTTCGGCCAAATGCACCCATTTATGTTGTCTGTAGAGCCTTCTTACCAGATTTTTATAGCATTTTTGCCGAACCTTATACTCGAAAAGTTCGGCTTTTGTAATATAATACGTAATTTTGCTGTAATTATTACTGCTTAATTACGGTTTTGTCCAACGTAATTGAAATGTCAAAGATGTGTAGGTACAGTCGACCGCACAGCAAATTAACTACAAACAAAACAATAAAAGTAATAAACTTATGAAGTAAATCGATATTTCTGTAAAAATGAAATTAATTGCTAACCAAATACTTACTTCCTGGTAAATAGGTGAAAATTTTTTTGTAGACATAAAAAGATAATGACTTATTGGCATGTAGTACATAAGTACAAGTAAATGCATACAATAAGTCAATAGTTAATCTAATATAAAATAATAAAGTACTTATCTTTAAATTTCATTTAATATTCATAATACTTTTACCGTTTTAATAATCATTTAAGCTCAACTGAACATCTTAGCTCTCTACAAGGCCGTAAAAGAAATGAAAAAATAATTTCTCCGTACCTCCGTTCTAAGCCGTTGGATTATCTTAGAAGCATGATTTGCGGGTATTACGAGAATATTTATATCACACATGCTTTCTTCTGAAAGCCTGGAAAATTCAAATTTACTTTTAACAGAATTGGAAATGAGTCTTATGTGTTTTAGATCCTTGAGAGCCTAAGATGAAAATATCATGTTGTTCTAAGATAGGTACTTAAAGTAATACCTTCTATTATAATCACTTAAACAGCGCGCCTTTTGTAGACAAAATTAAGTCTTAAGTTAGTGCTTAAAATCAACCTATTCATCTATTTAAACTAAACAATATTATCGTAGAGCTTTGAGAATTCTTTCACTTTGCAATATTTGATACAATTATGCACATCACTATCGACGACGTTCGATATAATTCCATTCGGCCATTTTTGGTTGCAAAATAGGGAAGTAATTCCAATGAAAAGTTTGTTTTACACGACCTAATCCCACCAATGTTCGATTAGCCCTAGAAAGGAAAATTGTCTAAGCCTGTACCAAATGGAGAATGAGCGAAGCCGCGGCAACAGCTAATGGGCTAATAAATAACAGGCATACAGAGCTTATGGCGGGAATAAACAGAAATAAAGGGATCAGCGGGATCCGTCCAACGTTCCGTACACGTTAGACACAAATGGGCCGAACGGATTAATAACATCAAACTGATCCGAGATGAAATCATAATAAAATATTCACAACGCATCTGGGGGATTATTCTGACGCAACATTGACGTCGGATTGGGGCAAAGAACCTATTAATATCGACATCGGAAATCACTTTTCGAATGGTTCGATTCTTTCGAGCTACGGACGTCGATTCCCAAAGGTTTACGTTCGATTCGAGCATCGAAATCTCTATTGACGCATGAACCTTAACCTTTACAATTTGAACAATAACGAAATGGATTAATGTTTGCAATTTTCGATTTACGATTCATACATAATCAAACCCTCCGACATTGTTACATTTGGAATTGTATTCGGGTAGAGAAGAGAAGTACACGACGTATGTTTGTTGAGCTTTTACTGGAAATGCCGCTAAACAAAAGAAGAAAACACGAAAAAAACATTAGACATCACATTAAACAATTATTTGTTTACGAGAAATAGAAGAACCACTTAAATAAAATGATTGAGTGGAGTTGAGTGGACATTTTATACTGAATTATTTTACCTTTTGTTTCCATTGCATTTTACAAGACCAAGATAAAAAATAAAAGTGCAAATAGAAATTAAAACAAAATAGAGTAGGTATGGAGCTTTTTGTAGAATATTTGAAATGGCTTTAAGTGAATATCATACAATTACTACTTATCATATATATCATACAATAATTACTTAGGCGTAGTGTAAACATTAGGTGTGATATTTAATCACACCTAATGTTTACACTACGCCTTTGTGACTACTCGTGTTGCATATTATCACAACGAAACTGTACTTTAAATGGAGCCATTAAAAACTTCGTCGCGTCTCCTCGTTTGGATGCTACGATGCCGAAATACAAAAGAGGTTCATACATGCAAGTAAGTGCTCTTATGGGATTCGGGCATCAGATAAAAATAGCTTTGGTGTAAATGTACCTAATTAATAGTATTTTTTATGGTTATCATCATCATTATCATCATTAGGTCATTTAGTATCCACTACAGCAGGATGATCACCCTTCCTAATTTACCAGAGGTAAAGGGTGGATTTGGTTTACACTGTTCTACGTAGTTACAGGTTACAATTTTGCTACAAAAGTTAGCCAGTTACTGATTACTCTCGTAACATCAGTCAAATTATTTCCAACAATAGCTGCTTTTACCACAGCGGAAAGTAGTAAAGTACACAAAATAAACGCGCAAATAAAATTTATGCATACCTACCATAGCACGATAAAACAATTCGCCAGCTTAACTCAAAGGACTCACACATTCGGCTTACGAACAAGTTTCGAGCTGCGGCGTACAAAATTCTTATTCGCCGAAAATACTGCATATATTTTCTCCCAAAGTTTTCATAAGTCCGACAACTTTTCAGCGAAGTATTGAACACCTCAAAAGGCCGCTGTACTAGCAAATACCATGAATACTGGATTTTTATTAAAATCGTGCCCGGAATATTTACTCGTTTTGTCTTATCCAATCTACTGTTCGGGATTGTGCAGATCATTTCGTGGGAAATCTTGTTTTACTTATTTATTACTTCATTATGCATGACATAAACATATCTGTCGGTATTGGTCTGGGTACTTACTTCAATAAAATTAATTACGTAACAAAAAGTAGTATCAAAGTATGTTTTTTTCGGTTGTCTATAGTAATAAAATAATAAAATAATAATAATAAAGTAATAAAAGAATATTAATTAATTCGCTGGATAAAATGAATGAAATGATGTGGTCCAAATGCGGCTAAGTATTATTCCATAACATTCTGTTATACCTATTCACACCTTCAGAAGAAGCCGAAATGCTTCTC